GCCTTGCACGGTCCATCGTCCACCATGCACGGTCCATCGTCCACCATGCACGGTCCATCATCCACCTTGCACGGTCCATCATCCACCTTGCACGGTCCATCATCCACCTTGCGCGGTCCATCATCCGCCTTGCACGGTACATCGTCCACCATATGCACGGTCCATCATCCACCTTGCACGGTCCGTCATCCACCTTGCACGGTCCATCGTCCACCTTGCACGGTACACCATCCACCTTGCTCCGTTCATCATCCATGTTGCAGGTCCATCATCCGTCATGCTCGGTCCATCGTCCTTGTTGCAGGTCCATCATCCACCATGCACGGTACATCACCCACTTTAATATGCATGACAATAATATATGTTTCACGAGGTGCACTCGCCGAAATTCCCCTTGATATTTGCGTATGAGACGAATTGCAATTTCAGACTTTAGTTCTTTGCCTTACCTTTTCTTGTAATCCAAAATTAACCGAAATCAGGTCTGATTCGCCGCATCACGCACCCTCACTGATAGCTTCCAGCCGCCTGACGATTATAAAGACTGAAGAATACCGGTGCTCAGCAATACCTTCATATAGTCCTGTTTGTTCTCGTTTGCCGTTCATTGTGCATGAGTTTTACCACGCAATTGCAGCATTTCTCGTGTGTTTATAGATTTATTTTAGCAGTTACCATGTAATTATGCATCGAGTTAGTGTTTCAGTACAAAAATTTTTTAACTATTCTAAAACCATTGATTGAATCGGAGAATAATGCGATTAAGTCCTTTCTGGTATTAGCTAACTCCACATGTTAAAATTTTTGCTATTTGAATTTTTCGATATTCCACCTCCTTCCTGTCCCTCCACCTTCCTACTCTCACTGCCTCCTCAACGCTTGAATCATTAACACTGGCCAAATCAATGTAAGCCGAGGACATTTCACGGCACTTTTGCGGCCGTTTAATTGTCCTCACTGACAATTGGGAGACACTGACAATGACTCACGGTCCTCTTCCCTCCGCTCGCTGTCCAGAGCCCATGCTGTCCGTACGTAGACTGCTTGGGCGAGAGTTCAATTGGACATAAAGGCCCAGATCGTCGCGTTTGCGAAGGTGCTAACGGCAAACGGCCGCAATCACGGAGAGAATTTCGAACTGGTCAATGGCCTACAGTAGAATGAGTGTTTTCGACGATTGTAAAACATCCATTATGCGTTCTAGGGTTAACTTTCTACAGTAACCTAAGCACGAATGCCTCGTGTTAAACATGAACCGAGAAAAATCAACGGCAACCTGGTGGCCTAACGGATGTCTATCAATTCCTGTGCATTTCCCAGCTATCGCAAAACGGCATTGCTGTCATATTTCATATGTCCAGTTACGAAGCTGTTACTGATGGAATGTATGAAAGCCGAGTGGAAAACCGAGCAGGATGCAAGATTTATGAACGCTAATAATATGAACGTTCAAAAACTTTTTAAAGAAAACACTTCCAAAGAATCCAGTGTCTCCAATGTTAAACATTTACAATGAATTTCTAATTTTATTTTCAAACATTAAAAAAATAATTTAAAATTTTTTTGTAATATATCAAAAAAATTAAATTCGTAAATTTATTTATTCAGCCAATTGATTCATGGATTTTCTCCAACTTTGCGCAAGTGTGCAAGATTTCTGATCGATTGGACAGGTAGAAGTGTGTTAAATATCAATTATAAGATTTGTAGCAGACAGACAAACAAACAAACAACAAAAAATAAAGTTAAATAGAAGGGTTGCAAAAATACTACTCCACACCAGTGTTTCGTAAGAGTCGGCGAGTCTTTTCACTCACGAAAAAGAATTATTACGAGAAGATTTCCTTATATGATTGAAAGTTGTCTGGTAATTAGGCAGATAAGCACGAAGGAATTTAATTGACGATCTAATTGCAACCTTGTATATGTCGTTACGGATGATGTATAATGAAATGGAACCATTGACAGTTTGAAGACCTGTAAAAGCAAATCATATC